TTATTTCATTTGATCATTCTTGAAGTTGAGACTGTCTGCGATCAGAATTGCTACCCCTGCTTTTTCTGAGGTGCTGGGGCATGTAGTATTGTTTTCCATCCTTTGACTTTCAGCCTATGAATTTCTTTGAGTTCAGTGTGTTTCTTGCATAGAGCATATTGTTGGATTTTATTTCCTAATCCACTGTGCAAGTCTATTTCTTTTAATTGGTTGAATTGAGTCCTCTTATATTGATGGTTATAATTGAGATGTACTGACTTATGAATGACATGTTATTTACCTGCTGTTGTTTATCCCTTTTTCTACTGTTTCTTTGCCCTATTTTGTGGGTTCTTTCTATTCTCATTCATGGAGTTGTGGTCATTTTGGTTCCTTTCTAGAATATCTTTTAGTAGTGTGTGTAGGGTTGGCTTTGTCATCACGAAATTTTTAGTTGTTCTTTGTCATGGAAGTATTTAATTTCTTCATCAAACTTGAAAGTTTTGTAGGGTATACACGGAATTTATTTTCTTGGAGGACTTGAAGTATTTGCTCCATGTTCTTCTTGACTTGATGGTTTGTGAAGAGAAATCTTCCATTATTCTGATGAGTTTTCCTTTAAATGTGCTGTTTCTTTTCTCTAGCGGCTTTTAGTATATTGTTCTTGTGCAGCATTTCTGGGATCTTGACTACTACATGTCTCGGTGTGTTTTTAAATGGGTTGATGTCATTTGGAGTTCTATATGCTTCGGTTATGTGAATGTCAGACTGTTTCCTCATATTTGGGAAGTTTTCTGCTATTACTTCTGCCCATATTCTTTTTATAGTTATTTGCATAAGTCATTCTTTCTTACTGATGCCTATTAGTCTGACATTGTTCAACTTTGCATCATCTTGCTGATGTTGAATTATTTTTTCTTCCACCCTAGTTGTTTTTAAGAGATCTTTTCTTACCTTTTCACTAGCTGCAATGGTGTCTTCAAGGTCTGAAACTCTATCTTCCCTTTCAAAAGGTTTTTCCAGCTTGTGATTGAGGTTTTAATTTTCTATACATCTCTTTGAATACGCTTCATGCATTCTGTTTCTTTCTTTCTTTCTTTCTTTTTTTTTTTTTGAGGGAAAAAGAAAAGGCTTTACTGTTGGATCTACACAGATTATAACAACAAGGACCTTGAAACTAACATATTTTTACCATTCTCAATTTTCCACCAGAATGGGAGACTTTCAGAATCAGCAGTACTTACAGAAAAGCAGCCTCCTCCTATTTCCTCAACATCTGTTTCTTTCCTATATTGCTCCTTCAAGGATTCCATCATTTTTCTATTCTCCTTCATCTTTTATCAGTGTCTTCTTTAGAAGTACTGAGTAATTTTTTTTATTATAGCTATCACTTTTTTTACTTCAGAGTTTATTTCTCATTTGATTTTCTCTATACCTTTCTGTAACTGTTTCTTTACTTCAGATGCTATTATTTCAGAGATTTCAAGTGTGTGATTTCCAATTTCTTCTATGCTGGTGTCTCCTGCATTTGTTCTAGGTGGGATCAAGGCCTCCGACTACATTTTGTTCCTTCTCTTTGTCATTTTATATAGTACTGTCTTCTGACCTTTGTTGTAGAGCTTTGGTACAGTTATTATCTTAGCATGTACCAATATTATTACCCAAGAGAGAATGTGTGGTTAAGGCAGTTACAGTTTTGTATTTAGAGAACTATAATTAGCAACACTAATATTGGGTAGGAGGATTTAGCAGTTGAGAAACTTTTGTATCTAATGGTTTTGCCTTTTAGACCCTGAGAACAAACAGCTAAGCAGATATTAGATTGGGAATTTGTACTTAAATTAGTTCCCCTAAATTCTACCGGATCACCTCCCCTTTTGTACCTGCAGTTTTCCAGGCAGCCTAGTTCACCCTGGTTGTCTGTTGCCCCCTCTCTCAATCAAGAGGGACAGAGAGAGAAAGGACACTCTCATAGATCTGGGTTTAGCAAAGTGACACAGCTTATCAGGTCCAGATCTACCAAGTTCACACTCATCCAGGTGGGCCTGGCTTGGGTCTGGCTGCTGTGCTCTGATTCTTCCATCTGCAGCCTGTGGAAGTGGACCTGCTATGCCCCTCTGGCAGGATGTTCTGCTTCTGGATTAGTTGAGTGGGTCTCCCCCCTTGCTCCTCTTCAGAGAGTTCTGCTTCAGGGTTCCACACCAGGCCTATCTAATGGAGGAGGTTCCGGTGAGTGGGGAAGGTCCTCCCTACCCCCACACATGCTTGGACTGAGCACTGGCTGGAGTAGAATCTGGCAGGTGGGAAGGTCTGAAAGACATGCCGGCCTTGGAGGCTGGGTGGAGTAGAATCCAGTGGGCTCAGAAGGTCCCACAAATATGCCGGGCCTAGGTTCAGGTTGGAGTAGAATCCCTATTTTTCCCCTTCTATTCTCCTGAACATTTTATTCATACTGTAATCTTTCTCATCTTGGTCCATATCAAATCTATTTTTTCTTGAAGACTGGTTCACAGCAGGTATGAGATTAATACCTAAACATTTTAATTACTTTTAAAGAAAATGAGGATAAAATGGTTTTAAGTCAGGTGTGGTAGTGCATGTCTCTAATACCAGCACTCAGGAGGCTGAGACAGAATTGCTGTGAATTTGAGGCCTGCCTATGCTACATAGTGAGCTCAAGGCCAGCCTGAACTATAGCAAAATAATGTTGCAACAGCCCGCATCAAACAAAAACAATTGTAAAACATCACTGCATACTGATAAATCTGATTGTAACACACTGATGAAGAGTTCATAAAAATATGGATAAAAAAGAATGAGAATGTATTACAGCTTTGAAGATAACTTAAGGATACATAATTTGACAACATACAGCAGAGATATAACAAACATTATACTAATTGATTCCTTAATATAAGAAGCAGATTCAATGTTTTTCTTAGTAAGAAAAAACAAAATGAGATTATTATACTAAAAAATAAGTAGACATTTATCAATTTTGTATTTGTCAACAGATTAATTATAAAAATGTTTGTGATATATTAATCACTTAACAGCTGACTCCAAACATCACTTGAGCAGCACATTTATGTACTGAATATGCCACACGTCACTTAGGCAAGTGTCATTTCAACCATTTAAATGATACTCTCATACATCTGTTTATTCATTTTATATCAACTAGTTTTTGCATACTTTTGATTTAGAGCATTCTATTTGTCTTTGATGATTGTAGTGAAATGTAATACTTTCTAGTTATTTTCTATTTATTTATTTATTTATTTATTTATTTGGTACAGAGTCTCACTATGCAAATCAGACTTGTAGTGATCCTCCTGTTTTCAGCCTCCCCAGCACTGGGATTACAAGCATGTACCACCATGCCCAGTCTTGTTGGCCAGCTCAGCATGCCTGGGGGTGGAACCAGTGCGGCAAGTGATGTTGGGGATTGAACCCCAGTTCCTGTACTTGCCTAAGCATTTGTCTAGTCTGCTGTTATCTCATCAACCCTTCTAGTTATCTTAATAACTTGTGTTTATTTGTGAACAATAACAAATAACATTTTTGTGCTATAGTCTATAAACACTCTTATTGTAACTACATTAGATATAATTTTTATACTTCTCCAGTGATATTCTTTGACAATGCAAAACAAACACATTTAGAACACTGAGACTGAACAGGAAGGAAGAGCACAAAGAGCTGCAAAAGAAAAAACTGAAGAACGGAAAAATATTAGCATATCAGAGAGGAAAAGGCTGTGTTACAAAACGGGAAGACAAAAGAGCAATCTCCTTACTATCAACTACTCCTAATATAGAAAGGACAGAACTTGAAAGAAGAAATGAAACTAAGAAAATTCCCATGATGGTCACTGTTTGTAATAACTGTGTGGGCACTGTTGACTAACATGGAACAAGCTATCCTATAGTCAAAAAACAAGGAAAAATATTATTATAAAATATTTATACACCTTCTGGACCAAACAAATGAAGCCTGCTATTTTATTCAAAACAAGGAGGTTCAAAAAGTCATTTACAATTTGGATTAGGTCTAACAGACCAAGTAATTAAAAAATATGGGATAGTGAAACAACAACCAGGAATTCTACCATCAATGTCTTTACCATTACATTTAGTGTAGACATGGTGTAGAAACTAGTCTACCACACAAAAAAAGGGAAAGGCCAACATGACAGTGTAAATTGTACTGTTCAAAGAAACACAATAATGCCAAAACGATTTGGAAAGGACTAGATACTACTGTCCATATTGTAATGTTGGTTATGTATTGAATGTCTTAAGATATATGGTACTTGGAAAGATGATTAAACAAATTTGATAAAATTATTGTTTTTATATTTTGTTACACTATCTTACCAAAATTAACAAAAAAGTGCATTTTTGGTTATCGTTGGTAAGAAAGTTACATGATATGAAATAATGTAAGTAATAGGATTAAAATCATATAATTAAGAGAAAAATGTGCATAGTAGAAAAAAATTTAAAGATAAAACATTAAGCTATTAGTACATTTTATTATGACGGTCAGAGTATGATTTTTAGTAGCTTTTTGAAGATTATGTTAATATTACGTGGCACTTATGTAACGCCTCAAAATTTACAACAGAAATCAACTATAATTTGACAAAGTTGTAAAAAAGAGATAACGAGAAGATATAATGATATCCTCAGTATACCTACCTACTACAGCACTAGTTTCCCATTGTTGTAGTGTGCACTATTTTACTTCACTCCTTCCATCAAAATGAAATAAGAGCTAGACCCATAAAGAACACTCTTCCTTACATATATTTGTGACCGGAAGAATGTTATGAATGAGGAAAGAGGTGAAGGAACAGGAAGAGTGTCAGGCACCATTTTGCTCCTGCTCAGTCCCATGTGCATCATGTAAGCAGCACCACCCCACTATGTGTCACATCAGCTGAATTGTGACAGGAAGAGGTCGAGAGAATCACCACAGCAGGACACAGAAAAGGTGAGCAAGTGCCTCTTACTTACCTTCCCATTGCTGACAATACTTGTTTCTCCAGGACGTAATTTGAGTACATCTTGACAGAACAACTGGTGTGTTCGGAAAATATTTACTCCAACAGTGTTATATTTTTTCTCAAAAGCATTCTTATCCATCCCCTAAAATACAACGTAAAAATAACAATTAATAAAAGGACAATCAATATACAGATAATGTTGACAAAACTTTTTTTTCTTTTTAACAAAACCTTTTAACCTACTCTCATACCAAGATTTTCCACACTTAACTCTCTTGAATGTTTTCTCTCAGCCATATTTACTTGGCAAAGTCCAACCTCAGTGAAACACCAGGCCGCATATTCTGCAACCAGATCTAAACAATGAAATACAGCTTGAGAAATACATGCAACCAATGGTTATTTCACTATGATCATTACCTTCATGTAAGTCCCCAGCAAGAAATAGAAATCCTTCTATATTAATGTAGTTAATTTTAATTCCCTTTCCCACTTTTGAATAGAAAAATACTTGACAATATCTTTTCTCTCCTCAAACCTCCAAGAACATCTTTTTGTTTTTGTTTTTTTTTCCTCAAGAACATCTACATGTACTTTTAATACTTAATGACCAATTTCTGAAAGTGAAAGCAATCAGAAGAGAAATACTTCCTCTTGTTGCCACTACATAAAACTACTTTTCTGTGTCTCCACAGATTCTACCTTTGTGAATAAAATAGAGAAATAATTTCTAATCTTTAAAAAAATTTGTTCTAAAAGGAAAAATCCAAAACAATAACAACAACAAGAAAAACAAAAACAATACAATTTCAAAATAAGATGACAGGAAATTAACAATAGTTGCTACACTACATATTGTTATCTTCAGATTAGTTGCTCAGATTACCAGATATAGTTATACAAGACTGATCAGACACCTAAATGACCTAAATGTTTTTTTTTCTTTTCAAAGTTTTATTGATAAACATATAGCAATGAGAGTTTCAAATCAAATCGAAAGTACAGTTTCAACAAATAATACACTGCATATATTCTTCTTAGTGGTTAATTGCTGTACAAGATGCAGACTTGTGATCCTACTTACAAACACCATTAGAAAAAATCATTCTATTCATTAAGAGAATGCAACTATATATCTATCCCAACCACTTTGAATACACAGATACAAAATGGACATTCATAGTTATACCCCATTTTTTTTTAAGTTCCGTTGTTGAATATTATAGGTGTGTAAACTCAGCAAAATATTCTAAAAGAGAACAGAAGCCCATAATAGCATTGGGTCTTCTGTTTAATTGACAATGTCAGAAATTATTGACGTGAGTCCCCCACAGCTCAACATAACAACATGGCTTTACTTCCTATATTTCATCTTCATACTTTTCTACTGGATGGTTAAGACCAAGGTAAAGCAGAACCTATGCAACAAGAGTTGTAGCTTTTTGGTTTGAGAAGGTCAGTGAAATGCCCTCAGGATTTATCCTGAGATCCTGTACCTCAGATTGTAGAACCTTTGTCAGTGCAGCCATGTGGATGAGTCACGGCCATTGCTTGGCCAATGTGCTCTCGTGAAAGCCTGAGAGAGTGTCTTCTCCTCATGTGACTCTCCTTAGGCACACTCCACGTCATCAATCGATTTCCTCTTTGGCCCCATAACCTTCTTGATCAGAAAATCTGGGACACTACCGAGGTACATGACGTTACAGTACAAGTTCTCATATGAATGACCTAAATGTTAACTATTCCTTTTAATAAGCCAATATAAAACAGTATTAAAATTATCTTGGTTATAATATATATATATAAATATAAATATAAACATAAATATATATATATATATGAACTTTCCTTCTTCTCCTTTTCCCCATCCCAGCTGCTCATCTCTTTTAAAAAATTATACATAAAACAGTGAACCTGAGTTTCCAAACAGTTACAATAGATGATATAATGTGTATTGTTGTCTTACTAGCAGTTATTCAGAGTACAAGATATAGGCATGGTATCTTATCCATACAATATTAGCACAAAACTTTCTTTTTTAATGAACTAAGAGAAACTAGCTCTGTTAAAACAATAACACTTCTGGGTTGGTTCCCAGCACCTCTTATCTCTTCAAGAACTTTGCTCTCCTGTCTATCATCCTATCATTTTTGATAAATTACTCCCACTAATACAAATGGGACTTTAAGTGCCATTTGAGATGTAGCATTCAAGGACCATTCTAGATACATCCCTATTTCACCTGCATAGGAAAATACCTATAAAAAGCTACCTCTATTAGTTCTACTTCCTTATTTTCCATTTTCTCTTAGATCATTAGATCTTTCTCTTTAGATATCTATCAATAACTCCACTGAAACCATTCTAATCAAAGATCCTAAAGACTATCTTATCAAATAAAATGGCCAAATAGGGGGCTGTATTTCAAGAACTGGTATAGTTGATTATTTTCTCCTTGAAATACCTTTTCTAACTGGCCTGTGTGTGTGTGTGTGTGTGTGTGTGTGTGTGTGTGTGTGTGTACTGGGAATTAAACTCAGAACCTTGAGCTTGCCAAGCAAGTGCTCCACCGCTAAGCTGTATCTCTGGCCTTTGGACACCATACTTTCCTAGTTACATTTGCAACTTCTAGCTATTCCATCTGTCTCCTTCAATGGATAGTCCCTTTTGTGAGTGCCTCTACCTGTTGAACTGTACAAAAACTAGGTTTTTGTCCTCTTGTTCCTCATCCTCATACTCACCTCTTAGGTAATCTCACCCAGTGTTTTAGTGCTAAACACATAAATGTTGATGACTCTCATACCAAATGAGTTTTCAAAAGATGATAGTACAGCTCTCCATTGAGTATATTAATTTAGTCAACTATCAACTCAACATCTCCACTTAAATATCCAACATGTATCTCCAATTTAACAGGTACACAATTTCTTTTTTTTTTTTTAATTTTTTAAATTTATTTTTATGTGTGTGTGTGTGTGTGTGTGTGTGTGTGTGGCCAGCTCTGCCCACCAGGGGGCGGGGCTGGCTGGCATGTGGTGTGGGGGATTGAACCGCGGTGCCTGTGCTTTGCTAAGCTTGTTCTAAGTAGGTGCTTTAGACCACTGAGCCATCTCACCAGCCCCCACAATTTCTTTTGATGCTCTACTTGTCAAATCTTCTCTCCATCTAGACTTCACCTCAGCGAATGATACCATCATTAATTCTAGCTATTCAAGTCAAAAATTCTAGATTATCTTTGTAAATCCTACATCAACTTATGTCATCACCTCTAACACTACTTACTCCAAAACACCATTGTTTCTTGCCTATATTAGTACAATAATATTCTAATTGTTTATCCTATGTCCATTTTCTTCTACCTACAATCAACTCTTTGACGGTGTCAAGAGTGATTTACAGCTTTTTCACTTCCTTAAGATTTGATGCCTTCTCACTATATGCCAGTATGTAAAATACCTGGGGCTATCTGCCTGACCTCCTCTCTTACTAGTCAGCACATCATCATTCCACTCTGGTCATGACACGATGATGTGCCTATATCGCAGATCTGGGAAGATTGTCTATGTTAGGCCTTCAGACCTGCTGTGTTCCTAAACCTGGTAATATTCTCCTCCCAGACTTTTACATGGCTTGACCTCTCCTTTCATGCTGAACTCCTGAAATATAAACTCATTGGAGATGCCATCTTATACCATTTCATCTAAGACCACACACTCCAAATTATATATCTTCTAATGTCTCTTTGTATTTTCCAGTACCATGTATTATGTCTTTCTCATCTCAGGATAAACTCCATAAGCAGGGATTCTATCTGCCTTATTTACCAGGATAGCTCTATTGTATGAGAGATGATTGGTAAGTAGTTTTTGAAGGGATGAAATGAGTCTTTCTTCCAGAAAATTATCTTCTAACTTTACAATGTTCCCCATAATGAAACTCTCTAGTGAAATACTTGAGGATTATTTACCTAATGCTTTAATCCCCAATTCTTCACTTGGTTATATATTCTAAAACTAGATTATCATCAACTTTAAGGATCATAAAGTGGTTAGAGAAATAAATGTCTACATGTGAAACAATATCACTTAATGTTTATCTTTTTCCATTCTAGAAGAGTGATTACTATTTTCAACTGATTATACTTATTGATATTTCTCAGCAAAATGTTATCTACTAGTAATCTGTATTTTTGAAATATACAACATATACTTATTATCGCAAACAAGTAAACACTGACCTCAGTAAGGGATGTTTTAATTTTATTTCCAGAGTGAATGGCTGCAGCAGTTTCTTCCTTGGACAGTTTCCTGAGAAAGCTCCACAAAACGCTGTTTTTCTGTGTAAGAAAAGCTGCCAAAATTCCTCTAGAAATAGCTGTGTTTTCTTCATTTATTTTTGATGTGGGATTATAAATAAGCCCCAACCGACTATGAACACTTTTTTTCTGCAAAACATATTTATAGGTTAAAAAAACCAGTATCTTATTTATATTTTTACACTTGCACATATTTTTTTCTCAAGCTTGTTCATTTTACAATATACCACTGTCAATGCCATGATAATTGTACTAAATGTAGCATAAAGCAAAAATAACTTAAAATCATTTAGAAAGTCTACCTATTTTACTTCTTTGCATATAGATTCTTTGGGAATGCAACATTTTAACTTACCTCTTCTTAAATGTGAAGTCTCACATACACAAAAGTACACAAAACAAGAATTAAGAGGGGTTATATATACACATACCAACTCCCCGAGATGGAAATAATCATGTATCATAAATATGTACTGATAAAAATTTTTAAAATGAAGAAAATACACAAAACACACATAGAGCTCAGTGAATTAAACTACATCAAACTACCAACTAGGCCAAGAAATAAAGCACTGCCAACAATTCAAAGCATTCTCACATCCCCTTCAGTTACTGTTCAGTCCCACTAAGGAAAACTATTGTCCTGTCATTTATGGTAATAGTATTCTTTCCTTTACAGTTTACCCCCTAATTTTGTATCACTAAACATTTAATCTATTTCAAATTTCATGTGAACGGAATCATTCAGTGTGTAATATTTTAGACTCTTTTGTTGATATTTCCCAGTAAAATGCACATGACATGAGTGAGATTCGGCAGCACTGTTTTCCACAACTACAGTCGGTTTTCGTTATTGTACAGCATCCCACAGTATGGATACACCTTCATCTATTCTAATGTTCCTGGACATGTGAGATTTTTCCAGTCTTGAGCATTAAAAATAGGATATTCGTACCTTTAATTTTAGAGCAACCTGAAAAGTTTTCAAAATAGTTGTACTAGTAATGCTCTACTGGGAATGCATAAAGGTTCCACTACTTCACAGACTACAGACATTTTTTATCGTCAGACTTTTTAACATAAGTCATTCTAAAGCCTAGGTAAGTATAGCTCACTAGGGTTTTAATTTGCTTTTTCTTCATCACTAGTGATACTAAACATATCCTCTAATATTGGTTTCTTTTCTGATTTGCAAAGTCTATTGCCAGTTTTTATTGGTTTTCTCTGGTTTTTAGTCCACAAACCTAGGTAGTTAACCCTCCAGAATAGAAGCTTATTGTTATTACCCTACAACCTAAGCTGTTGAACTTAACCTCACTATCTGTCTGAGCATCAAACATCTTAGGCATAACATGGAACAGGTATTTTTCATCACGTATTGATGTTATATTTTAAGTCCCTACAGAATATGAAGAAAAAAATTGAAAAAAAAATATATCCAATTATATATTGTTACACAGAAGTTTAGAAATCTAACCACATACAGCATTTCCAGGACAGTCCCACAACTCCCCTTTTCCTGTCTCCTGCCTTCATTCACCACCCCCTTCCTTCCCCCCCCCC